GAAATTTCGGAGAGTTCGGAGAAATGAGCCCCAGCCGTCTATTTATAGACTTCAGAATGGGGGTCCAGAACGGCCCGTTCCAAAATCAGAACGGCCGTTCTGGATATGGCCGTTGTGCCTTAATTTGGACCCTGGAACGACCCGTTCTGAAACCGAAACGGCCCGTTCCGGGGAACCAGAACGGCCCGTTCTGATTTCAGAACGGCGCGTTCTGGGGTCCGAATTCAGCACACATGATTGGTCTGGAACGGCCTTGGAATGACCCGTTCCAGATTTAGGAACGGCCCGTTTCGGGCCCGTTCCAAATAAGCTTTTACCCCTTTTTGGAGGAGTTTGGAACGGCCTGTTCCAATCTTGGAACGGCCCGTTCCAATCTCGGAACAGCCCATTCCAAATTAGGGTTCTTGGCTTTTTGGGAGCCTTGGAACGGCCCGTTTCGATTTTGGAACGGCCCGTTCCGGGCCCATAAAAATATTTAATCTGTGCTTTTGGGCCCTCTGAAGTCCTGTCTTCTCGTTGGCATGCTTCGGGAGCTCCTTCCCTTCGTAACAGAGATCCATGTCCTTGTTTGTGTGCCCCCGGACGAAATTAGGTGTCTACAGCGCGCACACACACAGACACCCCCACACATACGCACACACAGACGCGCATACACGCACACGCACACTCGCACAACACGCACATGCACACCTGCACACGCACACACGCACACACGCACACACACCCACACATACACACACATGCACACGCACATACACACACACACCCCCCGCACAACACGCACACACACACGCACACCCACACAACACAAACACACACACACACGCATGCACATACGCGCACACACACACAGACACCCCCACACACATACACACACAGACGTGCAACACACACACCCACACCCATACACACACACATGCACACGCACACACAACGCACACGCACACCCACGGACACGCACGCCCACACACACGCACACACAAATGCACACTCGCACAACACGCACACCCACACCCACACACACACATGCAACGCACACGCACACATACGTACGCGCACATGCGCACCTGCACAATATCTATATTATCAAATAAATATAAATATTATATAATCAATATTATATGTGTGTAATTATAGTAATTCAATTTTTGTGATTTTGTCCACATTCTATGTTTTAATACTTTATGTACATATGTTACAACTATTATATATTTAATTTATTTTTTTTAATACTACTTTCTAATATAATTGATATCTACATTGTTATAAAAATATATTTGATATCTACACGCACACACAATATATATATATATATATATATATATATATATATATGAACTTGTAACACCCCATTTTTTTAAAAAAAAGCTATTATTATTATATGATTTTTGGTCATAATTACTTTTATTGTTATAGACGAATATTGAAATTATTTTATTATATTCTGGGTTAGAAATATTTTATTATTATTATTAGGTAAAAAGTATTTTGTATTATATATCATTTATTTAATTTATTTATTTAATTATTTTGGGTACACAAAAGCAGGTCGGGAAGAGAAGCGAGTTGGGTTCACTCGGCTTAGTGGATTATTTTAAGAAAAAGGGTCAGACAAAGTTAACCCTATCTGTGTCATTTTGTGTTTTGAAGGGTTATGAGAGATAGAGAGGAGAAACAAAGAGCTTTGAGGAGGAGTGTTTAGGAGGTGTTTGGAAACGATTTCCAAACGGCATCAGAATATTTGGATTAATGCAATCAGGTATGGGGAAAATGAGATTTTTGTATGTGAAGTCACATGAGGGAATGGGTAAAAGGAAAGCTCCCTAGGATTTTGGTAATTTAGATTTGTTTCTATTTGGATGCCTAATGATTCTGATAATTTCTTTGTGGACTTGTGACTGTATTTTGTGATATTAGATATTAAAATAGATGTTATAAGAGAGAGATTGAGTTATTTGTAATGTTCATGTGAGTTAGGGTTCAAGAGGGACTGAAGTTTTGTTAATTGGTATGTTGTTTTGTTAAATTGATGATTCAATCGGATTTTATATTTATTTATAAATATGGTTATTATAATTTTTGGTGAAATTGATAATCTAGATGATAATTGAATTCATTGGGATGTGCTCTTTAAGTTAGGATTCTTGTAGATTAATGAGTACTCTTAATTAAATAAATTAATGAGTAATTGAGAGATTTTACTTATGGATGTACCTTAGTATTTTTTGTAATATTTTTCTGTGTGATTAACCAAATCAATTTCCGTTTATTTGGTTAGAAAGTAGGCACTTGGGGCTATAATTTAGATTCTAGAATCGTATAAAAATGTTAAGAATTGTCTGATTTATGAAGTTATAAGTTCAACTTCCATTCGAGTTGGCGAAATATTAAGTTTTGTGTTGTCAGCCATGCGAGGTGACCTTAACGCCATTTTTAGTCTTTGTGTTATTCATAAACGTTGGAGCTTTGGTTGTTAGAAATCTAATTACTTTGAAATCACTCAAAAAGAATGTGTATAACTCAAATTGTGGTCAAAATAGTCAGTAGAGATCAAGCTGTCAGGATTTACAATGCTCGACACAAGTATTTTATTTTGGTTTACGGTTTTGACATTTTGGGACCCCATTTTTGGCATGTTTGTGATACTTTATGATTTCTTAGTGATTCTTTATAATACTTATAATATGATTGAATGAGTTTGATGTGAGATTGTGAAATATGGCATTATATTGATGGATTTTGATGATGGTTGTGAATTGTATGATATCCAGTAATGACTATTGTATGAATAAATATAAATGATGTGTGGTAGATGGAATGTAAACTAGTTGTGAATTAAAAGATTGATGTGTATGAGGAGGTTGTGCAAGATATGTGTATGACTTATTATTTTATGTGAAAATGTTGGTTGTGTATGTGATGTGGAATTGAGTTGTGGACTGTGGTGTTATGTCTTGGCACAAATGTATGTGTTGCACGACATTGGGCATGTAATGAGACAACGGTTACATGAACATGACATAGTGTGGGATGTGTGACAATTAGCATAGATGTATGCGTGGCATGACGCTGGGAGTGTGATGCGACAACGGTGGCGTGAGCATGACATGGTGCTCGTTGTGTGATATGGTGGATATGAATGGTTTGTGTATCTGTGTGATTTGGGATGTGATGATAAAATATATTGACTTAATTTTGGTGAAATTTTTGATTGGTTATTTTTAGGTGAGGAAGATTCAAACATGAGTGACATTCAAGATGTTAATAGTTGAGTCATGGGAGTGCTCTAATAATGTGACATCGGGGCAAGGGACTTTTAAATCATTAATTTTAATGTAATTGGAGTTTTTATTTATTTCTTTTGAAACGGTTTATGAACTTATCGATTTTCTAAACCTTGTTTTAATCCATTTGGATATTGGAAGTACATTTTTTTTATATGTGAATCATTTACCCGATTTTGGTAATTCATTCTACTTATTATTTTATTATGTATGTTGGGGTAGAATGAGTGTCTCAAAACTATTTGATATTGTTGGATTTGTAGGCTTTGTTTTGGTATACTCCTAAAATAGATCTATTGTTTAAAAAATGTCATTTTTAAAATTAGTTGTTTCATAAATGATTTTAAAAGTCAAAACTTATAAAATTAGTTATCAAATAATCAATTTTAAAAATTTACTTTTAAAATTGATTATTTGATAATTGATTTTGAAAACCCTAAGCCTTAAACTTGTCCATTTTTAAAATCGATTGACGACCAATTTTAAAAGGCAAGACTTACCAAATTGGCTCTTTTAAAATCCTAAAAAAATTAATTTTACAAGTAAAAGATTATCAATTTTAAAAGTAATTTTCTCACTAGTGTTTGTATTTCCCCTCTTATTAGTCATAATTGTCTTATATGTCAATTTGACACAAAATTATCCCTATTTTTCATGTCTTCAAACCCAACAATCATCCTCGCCCTCCTTACATTTCTCAACACCTATTCCAACTCTAACAAGGACTCCTTTGCCCATTCAAACAATGACCTCCTCTACTCCCAAGTATCCTCCCACCTCCCCTCAAATCACTTACATGCATCTCCCACCTTCACCCCCTTATCTCAAGCTACATTATATACTCTTTGAAATCTATCTTTTAGAACTCCACCCTTCATCCATGGATCATGTTAAAACAAATTTTTATTACCCAAATCCACCCTCTTATACATCGACCTTGAAAATCACTTCTCTTGAAAATTTGAATTGTCTTTCATTATATTGATATCGTTCCACCAATTTGAGCAACTCCTATTACTACTCGCCCATCCTTCTGTTCCATTAGCATATTTTCCTCTAAGCACCCTATACCACAACTCTTTTCTCTCAATTTTCATCCTCCAATGCCATTTTCCTAACAATGCCAAATTAAAAGCTTTAAGATTTATTATTCCCAAACCTTTTTCTTCCTTCGCTATACACATTCACCTTTTCCCACGCCACCCAACGAACTTTATGTTTTTCTGCATTCCTACCCCACAAAAAAAATTTAAACAGATATTCAAGTTTAGAAATAATATCTTTCGAAGCTTGGAAAAAAGAAAGGAAATAGATCAGAAGAGATGACAAGACTAATTTGATTAAAAACACCCTTCCACATGTTGAAATGTGTTTGCCTTCCCTAAAAATTAATCTATTTCCCACCAATTCCACAATTGATTTCCACTTCTTTCTTTCTTGGATTAGCCCCAATCAGTAAAATAAAAAAGTTCCCAAACCTTTTTCGTCCTTCGCTATACACATGCACCTTTTCCCACGCCACCCAATGAACTTTATGTTTTTCTGCATTCCCACCCCACAAAAGAAATTTAAACAGAGATTCAAGTTTAGAAATAATATCTTTCGAAGCTTGGAAAAAAGAAAGGAAGTAGATCAGAAGAGATGACAAGACTAATTTGATTGAAAACACCCTTCCACATGTTGAAATGCTTTTGCGTGCCTTCCCAAAACATTAATCTATTTCCCACCAATTCCACTATAGATTTCCACTCCTTTCTTTCTTGGATTTGCCCCAATCGGTAACCCCAATTATTCGAAAGGTAGGAATCCAACCTTACAATTCAAAATAACCGTCGCATCCATTAACCATTCATTAACAACATTCACCCCTACCAATTGACTTTTATGATCGTTCACCTTTAAACCAAAAATCAATTATGTATGTATTTATACATGTAAAAGCTTATTTTATCCTAAAAATATTTATGTATGTATGAATTACAATGTTTTTAAAGACAAGTATGAATTATAATTTTTTATACACAAAGTACGAATAATATTACATCTAAAAGGCTAATGCAATGTATATATTTATACTTGATTAATGTGACTTTGAAGCCTTTCCTCAGATCTCTTCTATTTAATATGTAATCTTCATATTCTTCCTTGTAATGTCATCCCTGATATTGAAAAAAATGAAAAGATAAACCAAATTTATCAAGTTAATAAACCAATAATTTAACTCATAATTTTATTTGCTGAATTGAATGCCACTAAAGACTCACTAGAAAAATTTTGTCTTTGATGTCAAGGGGTCTTTTTGAGTAGCAATACTCATCAAAATAAGATTTTAATGGTCACATCATGAGGAACATAAAATCATATTGGATCCTGAACCATTTTTTATCAAAATTAATAGCTTTAAAACAAGGTTTGAAAGGAACTTGTAAAATAAAAAAGTACAAAATCCTAAAAAATTATTAGCAATTTTTTTAAATTAAAAATATTTTAATATAATCAAAAGGTAATTGTTGTCATCTAACAATTTAAATTAATAATATATCTTGTACAAGAGATATCTTGTAGGAAAAAAATGATATGTATCATGTATATAAAACAAGTTGTAAAAGTAACACTATTATGTTACAAGTTTTTAATTTTTGGCATATAACATTAAAATTTACACACCTGGATTGTTGTGCATATATGATATGGTCTTGTTCAAATTTCCAAGCCAAAGTTTCTTAGCAAATGTTATATACACTGATTTCAACAATGGTGTATTAAGATCATCTCTCAAAAATGTTTTCATACTTGGAATATTGTTCACCCTCACTGTTTGTAAGTTAGGCCAATTAAAACATCCTCCTTCCTGACAAAAGTTGACAAGCTTTGGAAGATCCTTGAGCACAAGACATTTCATTTTAGGGAAAATGGTAGCCACCTTTTCACCTTTATCACTAGATATTACCTCTTCTACTTTCTCACAATTACACAATCTGAGTATTTTGAGTTTTTTAAGATTTTGGGCCTGAGAAAGTGAGAATAAGCTTTTGAGGCAATGGCAATGAATAATGAAAAGTGAAACCAAATTAAGGAAAAATGGAACTTGAGGTTCCTTGTTCCAGAAACATGTCAAATTACTTAGGTTACTCATTGCTAACACCCTTAGTTGAGGAAGCATTTCTTGGTTATCATGATTTGGTTTGTCACCTTCAAGGATAAATACCTCGGCCAATAATTCACATTTTTCTAAAGTCAATTTTTTTAGCTTGTTGAATCTTACTATCATGGCGGGGGGGAAGACACTCAATAACTTTTTGTTGTTTCTCAAAGTAAGATATTCCAACTCACAAAATGATTCAGAAGGATAATTGTAGTGCCAAAGCTCCTCAACCGGTTGATTCATTACATAAAGTACCTTCAATTTGTCCAATGACAACTACAAAGAACAAAAAATAATTTTCAATGATTTAGAACAAAGATGAATAAAAAAAAACTATGTATACATGCACCCTCCCGATAATGAATATTATTTCTAAAATGTTAAAGTGAAGAAACTTACTGAATTTGGAAAGAAATAGTCTGAATTATCTAATTCTTTATGATCTTTCTCCTCATTTTACTCTTCAACAAAATTCTTGAGACTAATACAATTTTCTATTTTCAGTGTTTCTAAGGATGAAAACTTAGCTGCAATAGGAAAGGCAATGGAGAGATTTAATAGATTTACAAGGGAAACATCCTTCAATCGAGTAAAAGTGGTTTTACCTCTCTTTCCTTCTTCTTCATGGATGATCATAATTTTATGCAAGGCTGTGCAATCGATAATTTCCATATTTTTTAACACTTGAGATATGGGCAACCATTCAAGAGACTCACAATTCTTCACTTGTAGGATTTTCAAGTTTTGATAGAGCTCGACAATTTCTTCGTTGATGATTTGAGTTAAATTAGGTAGATCATTCAAGATCAATTCATCTAACTGTTTTAGGAGCTCAGTTGAATGAGATATTGTTCCATCAATGTTGAATAACATTTTCAATTCCATACAATCACTCACAATGAGTTTCTTCAATTTTCCTAACTCTTGTAAAGTCTTAGATGACACAACAACAACCAACTTGTCACAACTACGTAATGTGAGTTCATTTAGCTCAAAGAAAGACTTCCCATCAATAATTGTGGGTGATGCATTTGCGATTGCAAACCCATTTGTGAATGAAGTCAATTGAGGACATTTTTCTATTGTCAAGGATTTTAGACTTGGCAATTCTACTCCACAACTGTAGAACCATTTCAATCTTGAGAGAGACTTAAACTCTACCTTGGTTAGTGATGGGAACTTTGCTGGTAGTATCTCATCATAACGAGAAAAAACTAAACCGGTTATCTGCTCACATGCCTCTAACTTTAATTCATTTAGTTGGTGGAGCTTCCATGTTGCACCATAATAGAATAGACGTATTAGAGAGGGGCAACTTTTGATGTGTATCAATTGGAGATTTTCGAGGCCATAATATCTTGCTGGATTCCCATACCATACAGTTTTTAGATTATATAGTTCTATTAATTTTAATTCCCTCATCTGTCTGAAATATATACCATGTCCATCTTCATCAGGGTTAAGAGCAAAAGAAGCATCAAACAAATATTGTATTGTATTGCATTGTTGAATGTTGATAACTTCAAGTTTATTTGACCTCATCCTCAAAACATCAAGAAATCTATTCACCTTTTCGCCAACATTTTTTGCCTGGAATTGTAACAAGTTGGTGAAATGCGATGGACGAAGATTGTCCAATATCTTGCCTAATTCCTCATTGTCACCAATTTCATACTTAGTAATTGTTGATAATTCATCATCCTGTAAATTTTTTTGGTCTTGTTAACATTTTGTGCAACTGGAGTGGCAATTGTTCAAACATAAAGTAAAGGACTCGCTAAATATATATCCAATACCTTCAAAGAAGTAAGGTAACCTATTTTTCATAATTAAGCCTCCCAAATTTTAAATTTAAATGCACATTTTTTTTATAAAAAATTCTTTATGTACCTATTTGAAATTTATATTTAGTTTAAGATTAAAAAATTCAAGAATTAAATTTAGGAAAATTTGAAGAATTTTTTGAAAGTTGTAAAATAGGATTTAATTCGACAAATAAAATTTTTGATATTTTTCAATTTTGGTTGAAATTTAATGTTTTGGTTAACGAGTTTTGCGCAGAAAATGATTTAAAATAATTTAATAATATTAAACTTTTATAACGAATTTAAGTAGGAAATGAGAATTTAAAGACTCATAATAGAACAATATTTATAAAAGAATCAAAAGTCACTCAATCTAAAAAGTAGATGGACTTAATTAATTAAAAAAGTTTAGATTTGAAAATCGTAGTTAATAACAATTAAAGAAGGCAAAAGCATAACCGTAAACAAGCTTAATGTTTTTAGTCTATTATGGCAAATAGTGTTTTGATAGAGAACTAACCCATGATTCAAAAAAATTGGTAACTTGTGTATCAATATTATGTTGCACTTGATTTTCCATGATGAATGATTTTAATCGTGACTCTTTTATCTTTCCGAATCCAAACTTCTTTAAGTTAGGGCAGTGGTTCAGAATAAGATTCTCCAAGTATGGCCATTCAACAATGTCTCCTGAGGAAAAACTCCTTAGATTGGGCAAGTCTTCACAATGCACTGTATTTGTTTCCGGAAATTCCATTCTTATTGTGGCATCTTTGACTTTTTTAAGATCATAATATCTTTTCTGTATAATCCAAGGCAATTCTTCATGATAAGCCAATTTTTCTTAAGGTTGTTAGGATGTAAACAAATAATAAGAATTCATTGGGGACGTAAAGTTTATACTGTCATATAAATTTAATGTCGTCAACTTACAATATAATAAATTAAAAGAATACTAACACCGATGAAAAACATAAAAGTTGGTGGGTCTTTCATTCTATATAATGACCCTCTTTCTTAAGTTTTTGGTTTTCAATAAAATATATTCAATGAGAAATGATATTAAGAAGAGTATGTTAGAGGATGTATTGTTAACACTGTTCACAAACTTAATATTCTCAAATAATTAATCTATTATTTATATTTTATTTTAAAATTATTAAATTAAAAATATTTACTAAAATAAATCTCTCTCTCTCTGAAACATACTCTGAACTTACGCTAGATTTAAGAATCATTAATTTGGTGACTATAATAAAACATTGTCATTTGATTTTTAAAGTAAAATATGTTGTATTGCAATAGTAGAAAAAAGAAAATGAGTAGTGATAGTATGAAGAAAAAGTGATAAATATTTGTCACCCGTATGTCGTACGCCTTCCTCCGGCTGAAGCCAATAGTCTCAGTGAGCATATCGAAAATCTGCTCCGATTCTTCCCATTTATCGATAGCTACAAAGTCACTTCTGAACATGGTTCTGGGTGCTATGGGCATACTTATGTATGAATGAATATACATTCTCCTAGGTATGTGCTTTTATGGAAGAAACTCCTCTTTATGTGCTTTTATCAAAGCTCAACTCAACTGTTTTTATTACAAGGAGTCAAAAATAATATAAACTAATTCAAATATAATGCAACTGTGAATCTTATTCATAGATAACCAAGATTTTCTTTATTATTATAGTACTAATTCATATTTTTATCACCTAAGAATTTTATTTAACTCTTTTTTTTTAATTAAATAAAATATTAAGTTCCAACTCTGTTATTAAACGAATAAAAAAATAAGAAAATAATTTTTAATAAATATGATTACCACCTTTCATGTTAATCGAAGCAACTTTTTTTTATCAATTCAGTTTATACAACTCCAGTACTATAAAATTTTCAACATGAATCATTAATTTTCACAATACAATATCTTTACACAATTGCCGGAATATATAATTTCAATTACTATTAACTTTATAATTCAATTAACTAATTTTTATCTTACTACTGGATTTTGTAGATGCAAAAGAAAATTAGAGATAGAAAATAGTATGTTTAATAGAAATTAAATAACTAACTATATATATGCTTTTATGATGTGTATGGATTTGTATAATTCAAAATGAAATGGATTATGGTACCTGCACGCCGTTCCATCAGTAATTTTATCACTTTATAACTTAGAATAAATGCTTCAATTTTTTATTTTGTCATTGCACATCAAGTTTAAGTAATTCCTTTCTTTCATTTTTCCAATTTCTAAAACTAATTCTTTACTTAAATTTAAGTAATCCCTTTCTTTGATTCTTCCAATTTTCAAAAGTAATTACTTTGTCACTACGAAATGCATGCTTTTATGAAAAATAATATATACGGAACAACTTCTGCAATACACTTTTTTCTCCAAAGCTTTTCTATATATATATATGATTATAATAATTTTCATTTGTGATTTTTTCCTCATGTTTTAATACTTTATATATTTTACAACTATTATATGTTTAGTTTAATGATTTTTCTTAATATCGCTACCTAATATATTTAATATCTATGATGATTTCAGTTTCTTCAAGTCCTCTATTTGCTCAAGCTCAATTATAATATATATATATAATATATTTAGTTCTTTAATTTTAAAGTAGATTTATTTTTTATCTCTCAAATTTAAAAATTATTTTTTTAGTCCTGAAATTTTTAAAAAATTTGTTCTAATCTCTTAAGTAGGCCCAAGCAAGTAGCGCAAGGGTTTTAGGCCTCCAATTTATTTTAGCATTAATATACTACTATAAAATTAAAAATATTTAATTTTAAAATTCAACCTAAAATAATTTTTAATTAAAATTTTAAAATATTCTTACTAACTGTGAAGTTTATATTGGTACTATAAATACTATTTAATGAATAATAATTTTGAAAAATTTCCTAATCAATAATAATATTTAAAAAAAAAGAAATTGATTAGTTATTTTAATAGGTAAAGAAACCCTAAAACTCTCAAATTTCCTCTCTTTCTATTATTCACGTCTAGCTCTTTCCTTTCTCTTTTTGTGAGTCTCTTTGACCACTCCTTGACTTCTTTTTGTTACATCTATAACAATAATATAACAAATAATATTTATAAATTAATATAAAACCTAATTAATTCACCAATTTAATACAATATTAAATCAATAGTAAAACCTCCCAATTTTTCCAAAACCTAACTTACAGACAATTTTCTACAATTTCGTTCTCTCTTCCAGATCATCATTTTTACAAATTAAATATATATTTCTAATCCTCAATACATACAGAATCTAATGGAATCATCAATTCTTCAAATAGAAATAATTATAAAATTACTTTTCAAAAACTAACTCACAGACACTTTTCTACAATTTCGTTCTCTTTCCTAAATCATCATTTTTACAAATTAAATATATATTTCTAATCCTCAATACATACAGAATCTAATGGAATCATCAATTCCTCAAATAGAAATAATTATAAAATTACCTATAATCTTAAGGGATTCTTCCTCTACCCATTTCCCTCATGTAACTCTACATACAAATAATCCTCTTTTTCCCGTACCTTGATAAATAGTAGCTGAAACTAAGCAGGATCTGGTTGGTCTCCTCCGCTGAGTTCCCCTCGGTCTTCAGAGAGTGCACAAAAATAGAAGAGAGTAATGAAGAAAAGAAGTCAGAACCGAAAGAAGTTAGAACTGAAAAGTATGCTTTTGAGGAGTGCCAGAGCTCTCTAAGAAATATAATTTCATATCCGTGAAGTGGAAATATTTATAACTTAGAATGAATGGTTCAAGTTTTTATTCTGTCAATGGATATCAAGTTTAAGTAATTCCTTTCTTTGATTCTATCAATTTCAAAAAGTAATTCCTTACTTAAAACTAATGCCACCATCTAGAATAAGAATATCACAATTACTTTGTCACCACGGAATGCATGCTTTTTCATACTTTCTTTTTTTATTAGAATGGTATTAACTAACGATAATAAAAAATTTAAAATGTTTTCATTTATGAATTCAAATAATGTATTTATTATAAAAAAAAAATCATTTATAGCATTATGGTAATTAATGTTAATAAAAAAATTTAAACATTTTGTTAAAAAATGTACCTTGACCACTTATTTAAACAACGTGAGTCTCTCATGTCAGTTGTACTAACCTAAATTAGCATGTTAGTCAAATATCAAAATAAAAAAAAATTAGAAAAAATATTTTATTAATTTTATACATTATAAAAAATGTTTTTGTAAATTAAATATTCTTTATGAAACTATTGTATTATACATGAAAAAAGATATAATAGAAAATTATTTATAAATCTATCTTACTATTTATAAATAAATAACATAAAGGGAACAAATTTTGTAATATATTTTTCCCTCCAAATTTTTTTTATATATAAATGTTGTTATAAAATAATCTAATATTGATAATTATTAAAACCAAACAAATATATCAAAAATTAATTACTAAGAAATGCTACATTTATGTTTGATTAATTAATAATTAATTATACTAATAATATTAATTTACAAATTATCAACACTACTAGGTCTAAAATTCAAATAAAAATATAAATTATAAAAATTATTAATAAAAGATGTATTAAGAACTTACATACAACGAAAAAAAATACAATATCTATATTATCAAATAAAAGCAAATACAATATCTATATTATCAAATAATTATAAATATTATATATAAATAATATTATATGTGTGTAATTATAGTAATATTTTTTTAATACTACTATCTAATATAATTGATATATATATTATTATAACAATATAATTGACATCTACACATTCACACACAGAGAGATATATATGAATTTGCTAATTTACATCCACTTGTTTTTTCAGAAGAAGAAAATTAGCAAGTTATATTTAAGTGCATTTTAAAAATTATTATATTTATAACTTGCTAATATACTCCTTCTAAAAATGTAATAAGTGTATTTTAGCAATTTCACAAATATTTGATAACTTATACACACTTGTTTTTTAAGAAAATGTAAGTTAACGAGTTATATTCAAATGTCTTTTAAAAATAATATATTGATTTTGACTTCTTTTTTTTAAAACATAAAAACAAAAAAAAACTTAATTAATTTTTAACATGACAAATGATATATATTTTTTATTATTATTATTATTATTATTATTATTATTATTATTATATATATAACTAACATTCAAAAAATATATATATATTTGTCCCACAACAACCATGATCTATCTATCCAGCATATAATCAATTATTTAAATAATTTAATTTTTACCACTTTCTCAAACACATTTCTAATTTCTTTTAATTACATAGATACTTATCTCCTCCCTTAATTTTGTTGCTTTTGTAATGAGTATTTCTAATTTCTAATTTCTTTTTATAAAATCTTATTAATCATTTTACTTTCCTTGTATGATAAGTATTTACTATGTTTTATATTTTCAATATATTAAAATGGATTTATTTATTTTTATAAAATAGTAGGAAGATTTATAGAAAAAATCGTTAGAATATATAACATTATTGTTAAAATAAATATCAATATTATGTACAAATAAAAAATATCAATATTAAATTAACTTAATTCATTCTAAGTTGAGAAAACCAAATTGATATATTCTTGTAGGTTTTTTCTTACCATACTTTGACTAAACTCTACACAGTGTGCAAGTCTAATTAAAAATTTAAGAATTAAGATCCCATTCACGTTTGATCTTCTTAGAGGATAAAAATAAATGTTAATCGAGTCAAGGACT